AATTAAATGTTCAAATAGGGTGGTTTTGAAAATTTGTCCGTCACTAATGAGCTGCACCTAACTGAATTATGTCACTATATAAACCCCAAGACAATTAGCTCTTTCACGAAGCAAATTATCTGTCACTATAAAATTTTCTCAACTATGGGCCCCTTTGCTTGGTTTCTCTTAGCATTCCTATTTCCATTAACTCTAGTGAAGGATGTCAATCTCTTATGCCATGGTGATCTCACTGATGGTTTTATACCTGTGCCATTAAATGAATCAAATTATCACAAGCTATGGCCATATAATCTACCTCTCTCTGACTGTTATAGCTTCACAGATGGAGTACGCAAGCTTTGGGTATACTCAACGGACAAATCACATTCTCACTCCAGCACAACCAAACCTCGGACTGAAATCAGCATTAGCTTGATTGATGATGTGAGTATCTACCTAGAAAATGCACAATTCTTTCTACTAGTTTGTCATAGAACCATAACAGCCACCAAAAAGACATTATAAAATTGACACTACTTCAAGTCGCTTTACATAGCCCACAAGCATCATTCGGATTTTAGTTTTGCCTAAACATTTTGAGCTCATCATATAGACAACCAGTATTGATAAGTTTTCTAGGAGCTAAACCTTATTGGTTCCTCTTAGGCTCTTACTTGTTACCACTTTTTCTAGGTCTTCTCCTTCTGGTTCTCTATCATTTCACATAGGTCTTATAAGCCTATACTTTAACCAGTTTTCTTTGTTTGAATGATGCTACACCAAGTTCGGCCAAGTTGGAGTATGGTTCCAGAGCCATATCATACTTCACACATGCTTGTTCTGATAGCTGTTGGTAGTTTTTAAGAAAGTCGAAAAGATTTTTCATATAATTTGGGCCATAACTCTATGATCAATGTCATATTCAGGGATATACTTATGCTTCAGGCATGTGGCAGTTCGAAAGGCAGGCTTATGTTCCAAACGGGACATCAGGTGTCTGCATCATGCAAATCTTTTGTTCCCCTAATGCTGATGGAGGGGCCACGACTCTAATGCTGAGGGTCTATGATGGGGCATTGAAATACTACCAGCAGCAAACTGTAGAGGACAATATTTATGATCAATGGTTCAAAGTGAATGTGATTCACGACACAGCTGCAAAAGTGGTAAAGGTTTTCATCAACAGTGCACTGAAATTGACCGTTAATAACCGAGGAGGGAGCATCCATTCCTTCAAGTTTGGTGTTTATACACAGAATAACAGCTCCTGCTACATGGAATCCTGCTGGAAGGGAATAAAGGTCTTGAAGTTTGTCTAATTGAATAAGACCATAGTATGTGCCATAAGTAACCATGAGGATATCTAGATGTCTTAGATTGTGCATCTAACCCCTCAGGAATGTGGGTGCTCTTTGCATTTAGCAAACGGATCGTAGGAAATAAACTTCAGTTTATGCATTAATATCTGTCTATGAACCACGTAAGTGCATGTGTGGTTCAACAAGCCCACAAACGATCAGACCCCCAAGTTTTAAGACCAATAAGACAGAAGGATCTGTATCCGAGTCTAAGATTTAATAGGTCTCCAAGCTAAAGAAGATATGAAAGTAATATATATTCACCAGTTTTTCCTTTTTTTCGTGAATATTATAAGAGTAAATAATTTGAGCATCAGACTGAATTTCCATGAGAAGTGTTCTATATACCTATTAATTTTGACACAGAAGCCATGGTCATTGAGCAAATATGTATAGACATAACCCCTCCTGCCCCACGAAAAAAAATCACTCTAAATGTTCATTATGGAAAATGAAGGTCCCTCTCTCTCCACAGAAAAGGTTACTAACGTAAATGAAATGATGATGTTGGTGAATAACAATGTAAATTCTGCAGGTTTCTAGCAAAGAAAGCACTGGCTGCATGACTTTGAGTCCATGGAATTCTTGTGAATAACAATAATTCAGAGTCCAGATTACGAGGGATATGGAAAATCTTACGAATACAATATTCATTGGAATGCTTCCAATTGGTTTACTCCCATAGTGACAATACTCCCTTTATCGTTTAGTACCCTTACTCCTTTTAATTCAGATTTCAATATCCATGATTACAAGGAATACTTTGACCTAGTAACTAGCTTAAGACATGCAGACAACTGAAGCCTGCAGATAATAATTTGAAAAGGATACAAAAGAACAAATGATGTAAGGTGAAAATTCAACATTGGATTATCTAGCATTATCCAGTTTGACACTTAGCAGGCAACAACTCTAGGATTCGCATTATTCTAATTTTATGTCTCCCAATTAGCTGCTCCCAAATTAAACACTTGATGACCTCGCTCTTAATTAGCATTGAACTAGTCACTGGCCTCAGTTGCTTATCTCTTCAGTAGAATATATCTTCCCTAGATTAACACAAAGCATATTGTTTATGATTCTACTCAAAATGGCTTAGCAATAACCAAAACTAGCCAAAAGACAAGAGTCTAGACGTGAAAGCCGCAACAGATGGCATATACCATGAAAAGAATAAATCCATGCATGCTCCAATAATTACATTTTTAAGCCATGCATGCTGACTTAAGTTATTACCTAATATCATGGCATATACCATGATGGCAACCATCTAGGATTGGGAATACACCTACTAAAAGATACAATAAAGCTGGTGAGCACTAAGTCCAGATCTCTATAAGTAGAGTGAGGAAGGACAAGGCATTTAGACCTAGCAACAGATCTAATTCACAAGAAATAAAATCCCCCCAACTCTCATAAAGTAAAATGGAAGCCTGCACTTTGCTCTTCTTGTTTGTGTGCTTAACCCTCCTCCAGCTCCATATGCATGAAGCTCTGTCTATGCTAGGAAAAGATCCTACTCATGGGTTCACCTCTCTTCCTCTCAACAGTTCTAACTTTGACATCCAAAGACCCTATGATTTGGCAGTCAGTGAGAGATACAGCTTTATCAATGGAATCCATAAACTATGGGTTCTGTCTGCTGACAAGCCACTCTCAATTACAAGCCACACTTTACCACGAACGGAGATTCGGATTAAAGTAGGTGTTATCTTCATTTCAAATTGATCATAAAGGTGTTCATGATTCACATCACACACGAATCAAAATAAGTGATCAACACTGCCACCGCATGCTAACTAGCATCTTTCCAACCAAAATACCAGTTAAAATTATACAGTTTCCAGTGCAATCTCACATCTAGCTAAGTCTATTTGTGCTCTTTGGTCTTGGCTGGCTTGGATTTGAAAGTGAGATCCAATATACGAACCATCAACTATCAGATATTATGTTATCATTCATGTTTGGATAGGTTGGATTTAATACTCAATTATAGTAGGATTGCTCTTTTTACATGACTTTAAAAGTTACCTAATTAAGATATGAATCTTGTGTGAGGGTATTAAATAAAACCTGACTATACGGATTAGACTATGATATATCCAATGCGTGTTTGCTACTATTCAAGAGGGAAGACTTGGAGCCTAGTATATGCCTTAATTATTTCTGATTACATTAACTTTTGTCTGGCCTTCATAACTAAGGTTATTCTTCAGGTGTATGGCAGTTTGAAGGGCATGCTTACGTCCCAAGTGGGACATCAGGAGTGTGTATCATGCAAGTCTTTGGTTCGAGTAAGAGGGCGACAACTCTGATGCTAAGGGTCTACAATGGTGCACTTATGTATTATAGGTCATTGCTCATAGCTGATGATATCTACGGGAGATGGTTCAGAGTGAATGTGATCCATGATACAGGTGCTGGATTGGTCAGAGTTTACATTGATGGAGATCTCAGGCTAGTTGCTAATGATACAGGGGGGCCTTCTCATTACTTCAAATGTGGTGTTTACACGCAAAATAATTGTTCCTATTTCATGGAATCCCGCTGGAAGGGAATCAAGGTCTTGAAGTTATCTGATTGATACAAGGCGTGATAGCATGGCTTCAAAGTATTTAATAAAATTTTGTTTACAAGACTGCCTTGTGTTCATCTGTGCAAACTGCCAATGGGTTCTTCGAACCAATTAAACAAGATACACACGTTTTTTATCTAATTTTGGACTGAGAAAGTCCAAGGAATTAGATTCCACAATATTAACCAACTTATTTCTAATTCAACAATACATGAAATTGCATATGATTGAAATGAGACAATTAGAGTACAAAAGACTAAATGTCAAAATTCCCTTCCAATTCAAACTATGAGAAAAGAACAAAATTAAAAGCAGCATGACTTGTTCTTAGTTGGTGCCCCAGTTCCTTCCATTAAGACTTTTATTTCTCTGCTCTTGGTTAGCCTCTGAGACAGAAAATTAAAGTGAATCAAGAAATTAAATTTCTCTGTTTCTCTATTTATGTATGAATATGGATATGTGTGTGTGTATCGTGTGTGAAGGTGTGCACAGTAAAAATTGGAGTAGGGTAGTAATAAAGAATAGAGAAATAGTCTATAACACTGTGATCAGATCACCTTATATAGTATTATCAATTATGAAAAGAAAAATCACATATGCACTTGAAAAAGGGCGCAATTATTGCTATATACATCTGATTATCACATATGCACTTGCACACAGGATCATTAGGTGTCGAAGTCCTGCAAAATAATTTCCTTGAGAAATGACAGAAACAAAAGTAAAATAAAGATATAAAAACTGCCCGTTCAATCAACGGGTCTTTCCTTGAGAAATGACAGAAACAAAAGTAAAATAAAGATATAAAAACTGCCCGTTCAATCAACGGGTCTGCTCTAAATTGACTTTATTATAAGATAATCATGGGGTCAAAATCTGCAGAGGTAGTAAATACAAAACTTCCAAACTTCTTAGCTTTTCGGTCACTCCAAATTTATTTACATATTTAAAAAACGAAGTTTCGCATATTGTGTGCTTCTGACATAACCAGAGCACAACTATTCATTATCTTCAGTAAAAAAATTCTATCTGAATCTTAATAATTTATTTTGGATTTTTCTGCCTTATTCAGGGAAGTAGCCAGATTTTCCAACAGCACATATACTAAGCATACGATCTGATTCACAAGTTCAAATATATTGAATAAATGTCAAAATCATATCTATTGTGATGGAACAAAAAGGACAACTATCAAAGCATACATTACAAGGGAAGCAGACCATGTTTGTCAGAAATTATATGAGCAGGCATCAAGCAATATTTTATGATTCAAGAACCGTAACAAGCATAAGTGTGAAAGCAAAGCATCTTCTGCTATGCGGCAGCATGAACGTTTTTACTCTCCTGACTGCTAAGCCTTCCTGGAAACTAACCACTGACAAATACATGTCTATGGTTACATCACCTGCTTCTTCATTGTTCTCCTATAAATTCCCCTTACATCTTTCTAGTATCTGCACCATCTGGCCCTCACAAAAAATGACATCATCTACTTGGTTTCTTTTTGCACTCCTTGCTTCCCTCAACCTGCTGAAAGATACTCATCTCTTCTGCAGTGCTGATCCCACCGACGGCTTTACTGCAATGCCATTATCTGAAAGGAACTTTGATATGCAATGGCCATACAACCTAAATCTCAACGATCGATACAGCTATGTTGATGGAGTACGAAGGCTTTGGGTGTATTCAACTGACAAGCCTTTCAAACCAAGCACCACCACAAAACCACGGACTGAAATCCGCATCCGGGTAACAGTTGATAATCTCTTTGAAGAGAATAGTTTCAATTTACACCTTAGTTTCCACTAGAATCAGATTGATAAAGAATGTTCAATGAGTTGTATTTCTCATCCTTACTATGGTGCAGGGATATGACTACTCTTCAGGTGTATGGCAATTTGAAGGCTATGGCTTTGTGCCCAATGGCACCAGTGGCACAGCAATCATGCAGATTCATCGCACTACACATGCAGCTACTGTGCTAATGCTGATGGTCGTTGATGGTCAACTGAAGTTCTACCACAGCACCTTGGTGGAATCAAACATCTACGACAGGTGGATGAGATTAAATGTGATACACGACGTGGATGCCAATAAAATAACTGTGTTCATCGATGGTGTTAAAAAGCTACAGATTGAGGGAAATGGTCCAAATACCTTCTATTTCAAGTGCGGGGTTTATGCCCAGAGGGATGAAGCTCATTACATGGAATCAAGGTGGAGAGATATCAGAGTGCTTAAGAAGAATGGGTGAAGTTGCAAATGTAATAATTAAAACAATCATTATGTGATGGAAGATCAAACTCTTAACGAAGTAATGTATGTTAAAGCATCGCGCGTATCCTAGTTATTAATAAGAAAACTTGTGTGCTACACCAAACAGCCTACTTTCTTATCTTCCATGAGGCAAAAATACACTAAACTATATGAAAGAGGTTCAAAAGATTCTGGAGGAGTCTCAATGTATTGCCCTATCAGAATGACAAAAATTAAGGAAACAAGAGGCTGGAAAGGAAAATATAACACAGCTAGATTCATGGCATGAAGAATGGAAGGACCAGTGTTTCAAACCTAGATCAGAACCACCTATCTTGTCCATCAAAATCACCAATGAACTGCATATTTCTTGAAACCAAATAAAGGATGATTCATATGTAATCTGGATGAATTAACAGAGTGAACCACACAGAGGTCCCTATCCTTGTAAGAGAATTTATAGAGGAGCAATCAAAATGTGATTATAAACTTTGTGGTCAAAATCTGCACACCTGGTACCAAAATCTCGAACTTTGTAGCATGTAGATCACAGGGGCACATTTTATTTACTTCTCAAAATGATATTACGCATGGTATTTTATTATGAAATCTACAGAGCACATTTATTCATCATATTCAGTAGAATTTACTTCCTTCGCATGCTGTTTGCGTCAAGAACAAGTTCTATTGTAGAATTCATTATAACTGTTTATCGATTACAATGAATACAAAAGAGTGAGCTTCGTACTTTGTAAAACTACTCTTTATAACAAAAATCAAATTATAAGCTCCTTAGAAACAAACGCAGGATCGTTGTTTGGATCGCTGCTTGCGTGGGATCTTTGCCTGTGCCGGGGGTGCGTTAGCCCGTGGACCACCGATTCACAGATTCTGGTTGAATCGTGAAGGTTTTGGAGATTCTTCCTTCGTTTATCGAAGTAAGAATTTGAAGCGAATATCTTATCAATGTAAGATGTTCACTCTTCTAAAGATCAAGTCAGAGCTTAGATCTCTAGGAATCGCCAAAAGCTTCTTGAGGATGTTTGTGAAGAAGGAAGACTCTCTCTCTTGCTCTAATTCACCAAAAGCTCAAGTCTTTATGCCCCAATCTGCTCTCTCTCCTTTATTTCGTGTCTAGGGAGGTATTTATAGGGGTAGCAGTGCATAACAGTGGAAATGGAGGCGAGACAACCGACCAACCAAATGCCCTTTGGCCGCGTCAGTCAACACTGTCGCGGCTATTGGCGCGGCAGTGTGGATGCCGCGGCTAAAGGGACAGTTACACCCACGTCCCCTCGTGTTTGAAACTGTTCTCCCACGTCCTTTAACCACCTTTTTCGTGGTTTAACTGCTTGTCCACGTCAGCACACGTTCTATCTCTGATATGCCGCCACGTGGGCTTCAAATAATCATCGTACAACTGTCTTGTAACCACCGCAACAATCTCCTATAATAGCCGCGGCACTAGCCGTGCTTTAGCCGCCCCACCATGTACTGTCTTTGGTGTGTACATGTTGTCTCACTTCCTTTGAATGATTCCCTCTGATTAAGAGAATGGCGTTTATCGTCTTCTCTTTGCCTTGAGTGGTATTTGGATGTGTGTAAGCATTTTTTGACGCCTACACATGCAAAAAATTTATTTTGCTCTTTCTGCCTTCTACAGTAAAATAGACCAGATTTTGTACAAAGACATATATTTTGATTGAAGAGCAAGGATAGAGCAAATATATGTCAAAATATCATGGTGATTGAGCTAAAGAGAGAACAATGTTAACATATATTACAAACCATTCTTCTAAGAAAATATATAAGAAAAGCATCAAGTAATTGTTTTATAGTTCCTGAACGAGAACAAGGTAAAAAACAAAGCCGGTTCTTTCTGGTCAGCCAACTAATATTTTACTCAATTGATCTCTAAGTCAGTCTTATAAACTAACCTTCCGGACAAATAGGTCACTATCCTGGTATCACCTGCATAACTCATCTTCATAATCACCCTTTCTATAAGTATCCCTTCCACCTTTCTGATTTCTGCATCATCTGGTCTCTCACTTGCATAGTGTTTTCTCTAAATGGCACCATTTACTGGCCTTCTGTTTGCATTTCTTGCTTCCCTAAGCATGCTAAAAGATACTCATCTCTTCTGCAGTGCAGATCCCACGGATGGCTTCACAGACATGCCATTAACAGAATATAATTTTGAGATGCAATGGCCATACAATCTAAATCTGAGTGATAGATACAGTAACACCGATGGAGTGCGCAGGCTTTGGGTGTATTCAACTGACAAGCCATTCAACCCAACCACCACAACAAAACCACGAACTGAAATTCGCATACGTGTAATTTCTGATACTCTTTCAAGAAAGTAGTTTTAAATTTTAATTAATACGAAAGGTTTTACTAGAGTTAGATGGATAAAGAGGTATCAACAGTTCATAGGTCTCATCCTTATTTTGGTGCAGGGATATGACTATTCATCAGGTGTATGGCAGTTTGAAGGTTATGGATTTGTGCCCAACGGCACTAGCGGTACATCAATCGTGCAGATCCATCGCACTACATATCCAGCTACCGTGTTAATGCTGATGGTCGTTGATGGTCAATTGAAGTTCTATCACAGGACCTTAGTGGAACCAAATATCTATGACAGGTGGATGAGGGTAAATGTGATACATGATGTGGATTCCAATAAGATAACTGTGTTTGTTAATGATGTTCAAAAGCTAGAGATAGAGGGCAATGGTCCAAATGCTTTCTATTTCAAGTGCGGGGTATATGGCCAGACAGACGAAACGTATTACATGGAGTCTATGTGGAGGGATATCAGAGTACTCAAGAAAGATGGGTGAATTTATAATACATGTATTCATTTCAACCATCATGTATAATGTGATGGAACATCAAAAGCTTCATAAAGTGATGCAAAAATGTGTGTAATGTCTACCCTCTTTAATAGTGAGAAGCGCTTAAGAAAATCAAACTGCCTGCTTCCATTGGTCCATGTACTAGTGATCTTTCCAATTAGAAGAAAAGAAATTGTAAAGCGACTTATTTACAAATCATCTGGAGGAAATTGCCCAATCAAAATTATAAAAAGGAATAACCTGGAAAGATAAGAAGCTGGAAAGGGTATACAAAACAGCTTAAATCCAAGAGAGCAAGGTCAATGATATGGAGAATGGACCAGTGAGACAACAGGACAGGAGCCGCCTACATCACCAGCCAGCTCATTAATGAACCAATAATGTCTTGAAATCCACATAATAAATGGTTTACTGTTGAGTTGGAGTGGACTAACTTGGTGAAATAACAAGCTTACTAAAACCTGGTTCATAAAAGTAATATGAATTTCTTAAGTGCCAAAACTTGAATAGGGGACTTGGAACGTTGTCTAACAATTCCTATTAAATTAAAAATTGTCAAATAAGGGGCATTTATATAATATGTTTATGTATACGACAAGGACCCAATTGGTTCCTCTTACATATATCTCTGCTGTAACATCATCATGACATTAGGATGCCCCGCTCTTGATCCTAATTAAACTCCTAACCCCAGCGAAAATCACCAATGCAACTCTGCTCCTGTCCTCAACCAAGCGCCTTGTTCCTGTTGAACCAGATCTTACCACATGCCTTGGTCTATATAACTCCCCTCTTCAATGCATACAGGTCTGATCTTCATTAATCTCACTGCAAATTTCTCTCCATCAACTTCACCTCACAGCAAAGTTTGCTGCCCTTACATCCCGACTAAAACAGCCGCCTTCGAACCATCTTTCAACTTCAAACTTTGACTTTGACCATCATCTTTGACTTGACTTGGGTCATCTTCATGCCTTCACAGAATTTCATAGAACTATATTCTTCTTCTCTTTCTCCTCCTCCTCCTCCTCCTCCTTTTTCCATTTGAGAATACATAGAACTATCTTCTCAACCTCCACTTTCATCATCACAGAACCATCTTCAGATCTTCATCACATGGCATGCCTTCATCATCTCCATGATTCATCTTCAGTTCCACCGTCAGTTCCTCACCTTCTATCCTTTTGTTAATTCTTTGCTTTCCATTTAGTCTGTCATTTAGTCAACAGAAAAAGGCCCGTGACTCAGTCAACCATCAGTATGGTATATTTAGACGGTTTAGTGGGGATTTTGGAGGATTTTTATGGGTTTGGGGAAGAGTAATGGGGACAAATACAAAACCTATTGTGTTCTTGAGCTTATTTCAAGCAGAGCCACCGGTAGAAAATTGATGAGTGGAGATTAATCCAATAGATGGTGGCAAGAAGAAGATTCTAAACTCAGGGTCCTCTTCAATGGAAAGATGAGTGGGGATTAACCTGAATGTTCACAACATTGATCAGTGAAGATTTCAAGGATGGTATTAATGCTCAAGGTTTCATCTCCAAATGAAGTTTCATAAAACACAGGCATCGAGTCTAAGAAGGATATTTATCTATCTCAATGTTTGCAGGGGCTGCAATGCTAAGCCACAAGTCATTAGATACTCCTACTGACCAGAACAGAGATATGCTATAATATCAGGGAAATACATCGAGCGAACTCAGAAATCCATTTAGTACATGCAACTAGTTCATTGATAACATTTTGTAAAGACACAGTAAAATATTAACAACAAACAATTATAAACTGTTGTTGTCTATATTAGTCATCAGATAAGAGAATCAAGCATGGTAGAAAATAACTTTTCAAAAAAACATAAATAGACAATTACGAGAACTCTGTGTATTAGTTGTGATTTTTTTGCAAATTATCCTTACAAAAAACTAATCTCCAGAAATTAATAGAAGAATAAATGAGTTTAGAGAGAAATTCGGGTTTAATTCCAAAATTTCTCTACAATTAGGAGAATATCATACACAAACATGTAATTAAGCAAAAACTAACCTTACGAATACAATGTCCGATACGATTCCAGCCACATAGAACGCTGAACGAACTACAATGTAATTTCAAATTCTCTCAGTGCGGA